GTGTGTGTGTGTGTGAATATATGTCATAATGGGTTGTAACAAAATTATAAAAGATATAGTAAAGATAGACTGAAAGCCTTGCTAAAGTTTATTTTGTTTTCATGTTTATAAAGTCTCTTTTTATCTATCCACATAATACAAATGGCCATATCAATAAAATGTCATAAGTATAATGAAAACATCTACAAAGCATTTTTATTTAAATCACTAAAGATAAGGTTAGCATTTTGTTTCAAAGGCACACAAAGCCAATTCTACCCTTAAAATGTGAAACCATCTTAATTTATAGAGCAGCCTTATATGTGCACGGTAATTGTGACCCACCAAACAGTTTCTTATTAAACAACAACCGCGTCAGTTGGTGTAGACAGAAAACATAATTAGTATTCAAGCTTAATTAATCTACGCTGGCCCCCTTTAAGTGAATTAGTCAATTATTTATGCATGTGTGCTCCTTTGATGCTAACAGATTATGTATGTTACTGGAAAAAACCTTGAAAAATGACTTTGAAAACTTTCCACCATAAAATGTCACTACAAGCTTTTGCACTGGCTTAGAAATGTCAGTGAAGACCATGAATAGTGAATTAATATTTTTTTTTTTAAATCTTCCCAGACTAAACTGCCAAACTTCTTCATATTCTGATTATTGCCAAATCACCATGCCAGATATTTCAGTGCCAGTCTGGGAAACATTGTCATTCATTGTCCGAAATCCAGAGCAAAAGACAAAATATATGAGCCAAATATGTACGTCTTGTGTGCCCTAATCCGTGGAATGGAAATCTAACACAGGTCGGATCAAGGTCTTTCCTAGGATCATGGGAACTCCTTGGGATTTTCAAGAGCCTTTTTGTTTTTACCCTTGAGAACCAGGCACTGGCCTCTGGACCCCTCAATCCCCTATTGAGAACCCAGAGGCAGCGCAGAGGAATGCTAAATGTCAATGGTCAGACTGCACCAGCACCTTCAGAGCGAGAGAGATGGAGGTACAAGGCCTGACCTCCTTGTGTTCAGCTATGCTGCTATGAGGGGCCAGAAGTGAAACTGTACTCACGCTGCTAAAGGTGTCCATCTCCACAAACCGCAAAAGATCATCACTGGCTGACCCTGATCTCTGCACAATGGCGAAGCCTGTAAAAAATATGATGAGAAATGTGTCAAGACTAATAAGATGAATCTAAAGTTGTACAGCTCCTATCTGAGCTAAAAGTGAGGGGAACCTGTTATTGACTTAAAATTAAAACTATTTACCTTATAATTCAAAGTTTGCTGTTGCTATTAGAGCTCTTTTAATGACTTACTGTGTAGCACAAAATCCTCCACTCCATACAGGGGTTACACTATCTCCTGCTTGTGTGTTTAAAACACTGTTTATCCCTGCAATGCATCTCAGAGAATAAAGGACAATAACCACCATTTATTATTACAGATAACAAATTATTTGCCCTGATTATTCAAATAGTTTATTCATTTACATCGGATACAATATCATTTGGTATTTTTATCGTCTTTTCCTATGGTAATTCACATGGCTTGCACAAGTTTCTGCTGAAATAGCAAAACAAACCCCAGGCAAAATGTGAAAGATTATCCCATACCATGCGAGCTAGGATGAAATGCTATACTTTTTCACACTGAACACTGCTCCACTGGGTGTGATTGAAAAACATGTAAAGCTATTGAATCTGTGGTTTGTATATGTGAGGGAAAATGAGTGTTGTAACAAGTGGGCCAGTGTTTTTGTAATTGTTTCAAATTACACTCTGCGTAATAACTCAGTGAAAGCAGAGCCAGTGTGCGGTCCGTACACATTAACTAGGCAAAGACCACAGGATATCCATGCACCTTATCACGGCCCACAAAAAAACTTGATTGTGTAAACAACTGTGGAGACTAAAACTCTTTAGCTGTATTTCCAGCTGTGTCTATTTGTGTCGAATGGCGCTTATCACCAGCTACACAAAAGAAGGATAATACTTTTAGATAAAGAGGTGCTTTGCAGCATTTCCTTTACATGTGTATTTTATTGAATTAAAGACACCCTAACATTCCTGTTTTTAATTTGCCTAACTGTCTCTATGTGTTACTAATAGAGCTGTGTGTGTGAATGTTTTATACAGGCTGTAAAACTGTGATGCTGTGAGAAAAATAAGTACATTAGTTGCTAAAACTGCACGCCTCCTGCCAAAACAGGCTTCTTAACCAATGACATCGCCAACACTATTGTTAACCACGTAAATGACTGACTCGCTTTTCTGCTTGAGGTTCAGGCTTTCTGTCAAAGGTCGTATGAATATATTGCAGTACGAGCAACAAAGCCCTAAAATTGATCACAGCAACATGGCAGAACGACAAAACTGCTGCCAACTGATGTATCTCAACTTTTAAAGATACCTCTCCATGACTTTGTTTAGACTTTGTTTCTGCACAAACTAGTGTTTTATGGCTTTCAAAATTATGCAGAAATAAATCGCACAATAGTCACACAAAAACCAAGTAGGCTCATTGTTCCTCTTGAATGACATAATGCTATATTTGACCTGCAATCCTTTTTTCCATATCCCTCTCCTGCCCTGAGAATGACCATCTCCTCTGTCATCTAGTCAGCTAAGCTCAATCAACCCTTAATCCAGAATGACAGTGGGGTCTGTGTTGCACAAGACAAGGCACTTCCCCTTTTCTATGGCATAGTGCAACCTGAAATCTTCGCTTGACATTCTTTTTCCTTACCGCAAACATGGATAAGGGATGTAATCCAATAGCCACAGAGGGACAGGGCACCACGCACCAAAGAAAATTTTATTTGCTTGAGGACAGAGGCCTTTTCTTAGTGTCTGACAAGAGCCAGTCTCCCTAAAGACATAGCGTCGACACAGCTGACAATAAGGGTAAAAAAAGGGCAAGCTCGTTCTTCTTCGCTTGGCAATACAGACTTTTTGCATGCATATTTACTTCAAATGCACTCTTTGCACTTTAAAGAGCACTTACAAAGGCATACATCAGCAGTGAAGTGCACAACAGGGGAGTATATTTGAGTGAATTCATGCAAGTCTATTGCATTTTAAGTCTGGGAATTGTCAAAGTGCTATTCCTCAGTAAAGTTTCAATCAGGTATTGGCTTTCTAAGTACACGTTTCACCAAAGTATGTCATTTGATCTTACTGGATTATAAACAAAGTCTATTGCAAATAACTAGCACATTATATTAGTAACTATATTCTTTAGGATTAAGAGATATGTTACCTTGCAAGGCCCGAATTCTGCCTCTTCATGCCCAGCTGCACCTCAGTTGTCAAGGTGATGATTACGTGGTCCCCAACAACACAAGCATGTAGACATAGTCTCAGGTAACCTCCTCATGTTCACTTTCACTCACTGAGAGAAAAAGTACAGGAGAAAGTGAATTGAATCATACACCTCCCAAATGTATAAAATAAATTTGATCTCAGGTTTCTACTTGACTGTCTGTTAGATATACTGTATAAATGGAGTGAAGCAAAATGAAAAATAGTGCTTGTATAATAAAAGTAGGAACTGTGTGTTATTTAAATTCTGGGAAGGAGAGATATATGACTAAGTTTAATGCATGCCATTACCAAAACTGTAACCATTGAGTTGTGCCAAGATAAAGTTTCATCTGTGTAACAGCCTCATCTACCAGATGGCACCACTGTTTGTGTTTTAAACTATGTTTCATTATTAATGGGGAGTGTGGCATGGCGCTCCTTCAAAGAGATGTTCACTTATTGTTTCAACAGAACCAGAGATATCGCAGGCTGCTTTATCACCTTTTAGTGCCGGTTACAATGAACTCCCCCAAACTGAAGGTAAAGTACTCACAGTGCTTTGTAAACATCCATTATGTATTTGACAATTCACACAAAAGTTCCCCCATGCATTATTTAGAGGGGACTGCTGCAGACAAACGTATTTCTCAGCCAAAGACAACCCAGCAAGCTTTACAGCTGCTGTGAAGAATAGGTACAAAACGCCCGGCGGATTGGCCCGTTCACGTTTGGCATAAGGCATATTAACACTAATGTCCCCCTTAGAATAGATCATGAACTCCTAATGCTTCCCTTAGAACAAACAGTCAGACTGTGCTGTATTTATGACTGCAAAGCCATCAGGCCATTGGTGGCCTTTTCAACTGAGGATGAGATATTGCTCATATGTGATAGCAATGAATAGTCTTTAATTTATTTTGTAAATATGGAGTCAGGGTTTTGTTTTATATAAAGTTTATGATTGGTGCTGTGAACACTCGTTCAAGTGACCCATATTACAACCCCGCCTTGCTCTCTTCCTCCTTATCCCATAATGATGAAAACAATCAGAAGTTAACAAGGCACAATAATACGTCATTAATGCACATTTTAATCAATAAGGTGCATGCATAGGGGATCTTCACAGCAACCATATTACAAACCACTGGGATCTTTTTTGCTCATTAAGCTGGTTAAATGTGATCTAAATAAGATGCCCACCGATTTGGACCTCCCATTACCTGGATAAGCTGTCGTTGATCGTTTTTGCGATTAAATATAGACCTAAATCTCCATCTTATCCAATTAATTCTCTGTGCAGGCATGAGAGTGGCTAATGATGTTATCTTTCCTAATTAACCTGTATAGGGATTCAACTCCAGGACAGGGGATTGTTCATCCTTCATCCAAGTGTTCATTATTATCATTACAATCATTATCATAAAGGGGCTAACTTATGATGTTGGCCATTCCATCACCATTAATCTAGATTGAGTCCTTTTTTTTTTTTTCGGGGGGGGGGGTAATCTTTTGCAACATAATTTAAAACCTGTTAAAAATATTATTATTTATGGTCTGCATTTCACAGCAATAGCGATTCAGTGCATTTACATTCTGCAATTACTTCTCTTTATAGAAGTTTTCATTGTTGGTGGTGGGGTACACAATTTTCACACTGGATTCAAATTGCCTTGACATTCACATGAAACAAGTTATGCCAATATTTTCCCTTTTTGGAAAATTACTTGTGCAGTGTGTAGCAAATCAGATTCTGTTTGCAATTGTTATTAACTGACTTTTCATTCATACAGGCTGCACTGTAAACAAAGATATTACATCTTCTGTAGTATTTCT